TTACCGCACCGTGACGTCACTGCTGGAAGACGGCAGGAGAGAGGGGTTACTATATTTGGGCAAAAATGGCCGCTCCCAGACTGATATATGCAGCGCCATTACTGTAGTTGAGGCAGTCACAGTGGAAGACGTGGACTGACTCAAACCACAAACAACACAGATACCAAAATAACTACCATATTTTCTGTAGTATAGAGCTCACCTTATTATAAGCCGTGCCCACTACATTTTTTGAAGAAAAAAAAAAGGAAACTTGCATATATAAGCCTCATCGCTGTTTATAATCCGCTGATATCTACTGAACTGTTTCCAACCAAACCTGTAGGGGGAGCTCTACATAAAGCCCCTGGAGTAGGGATGAAGAAGAATGCTAGCTCCCGTTAGCTTGTTAGCTCACATTAAGAGCTTCTACTGAAAGATGGAGCTTCATCAGCTCTTTATTTCAGCTCTGCAGGATTTGATCCCAGTCTCTTCTTTGGTTCGGCAGCTTTAATGCAGCAAATAAACGTCAGAATGTGAGAATTCAGGACATTTATTCTCCGTCGTACCTGCTGCTAGCATGTTCTGGTGTTAAATGGAAATTAGTCCCTTATTCTTTCAATTCCAACTTTGACTTCCCCCTGTGGCTGTTAGGAAAAATCCACAGAAAAGCTGCAGCTTCTTATAAACCCCATGGTTCAAAGCTTGGGGAAAAAGTAGTGACTTATAGTCTGGAAAATACGGTAAATTATTATTTCCTCTGATGGACATTTTGCGTCCCTTGTTTTTTTTTTTTTTTTTTTTATCCATTTTAATTAGGGGGGATTTCAGTATATAGTGAAATTCGGAATATCGTGATAACATCGTATCATGACCAAAATATCACAACACTCATGCCAATACTCACCCCTAGTTATCAGGTGGAACAAATTTAGTCTAATAAACCATTAAGCAACAATTAATCACTTCCACTATTGTTCGTTTTTTTTTTTTTTTTTTTTTATTTATCCCCACCGAAAGGGTCGCTAGAAGAGCGAGACCAAATGTTGTTTGTTTATTTTCTTTCTTGATTTCACACTTGAAACACAGCAGGTTATAAACCTGTGGAAAACACCAAAGTTGTGCCATACATTAGATGCCATGTTCAGATATTTACATAAATAACTAATACAAATTCACTGCAATATCAATGAGAAATTCATATAAATACACATAAATGCATCCATAAGCTATAAACTCTTATTTAGACACACACCATAAAGCGTCAGTAACTACTGTATAAAGATCTGCAGCTTGTATAAATAATTCATATAAATACAATTCCTCATTAAAGCATAGCCAACAATATCTATAAATACAAACAATAGAATGCACAACAGCAGACACTACACTTAATCCATTTCATTACATACAAACACCAGAGCTACCACTGCAAAAAGCAGCTTAAAATAACAACAACAGGAGCCCATTTACTAATGCTAGGTGAGTGAACCACATCTCCCATCATGCATTACAGGAAACAACTACGACTTCGGCCCGACTACAACACCCAGAGTGCACCGCGAATCAGGAAGTAAGCGCATAGCGTCAAACGCGCTTCGTTTCAAAAGTTTGTACCGTCAACTCAGACTAATAAACTTTAACAGTAATCGGCGGATTAAAACAATGCACTCGCCAAGCGACCACAGTGAAAAAGTTATAAACATCCGACCAGTTAAAGGGCAACAACAGTCGATCAAGCAGTTTAAAACAACCAGCGAGAGAATATTAAAACCCAGCACCTTACCGGTGATGTGCATCGCTCTTCCAGCCATGCAATTGGATTTTGTCTCTGTGCGTGCACGCTCCTGTTTATCTACGCATCACTAGGAACACTACATCCAACGGCAAGCCAGCACACCAAACCAGGTGAGTGCCACCTCCCACCTAATCAGCTGTGCTGCGTTACACCTGATCACCCGTGAGTTGACGTTGTTTACTCACCACCAAATGACAGTGCACAAAACACCTCCCACTTGACTGAATGATCGCAAGATCCAATGAAGTCACAAATTTTACAATTAATTAATTTCTCTTTCAGAGTCCTTCAAAGCTCTTTCAAGGGGTGTTTTTTTTTTTTTTTTTTTTCTTCTTCCCGGGCATGATGCATGTTTGCGGCTCTTCATGATGTACAACTTTGATGGCATAGTGGCAGCGTTCGGCGTTCACCACTATGTAATGCACAAGTGTATGTAATGTGCATGTGTATGCGTGTGTGTGTGCGCATGTGCTGAACATAGTGGCAGCGTTCAGCGTACACCACTACGTCAGATTGAGGCTGAGGACAGAGGGTTTTGATCCTCCACTGGAAGAAGGACCACAAGTCTCCTTACATCCCTCTTGATCACAGTCGTGGGCAAAGGAGAGCAGCTCTTCTTGCAGCTGCCCGACTGTGATGCAGGGATGCCAGTGCAAGTCGTGATGTCAGCATCCCGGACGATCCCCTTGTTGTCAGGGTAGACAGACAGAATTCTGCCCAGGCGGAACTGACCTCTCAGAGCATTTGGGTCAGCTACCCAGACGAGATCGCCGACTCTGATGTTTCTCTCTGACCGGTGCCACTTCTGACGAACGAAGAGATTTGGGCCAGCAAGCTCCCTCCATTTGGCCCAGAAGCGATCTACCCCGATTTGGATAGCTCGCAACCGCCGCCAGGAATGAGTCTCCAGGTCGAGACCGGTGGTATCTTCCCCCAGCGATGCTCGACCCAGGATGAGGGAGTTTGGTGTCAAGTACTCGATGGAGTCCTCCTGCTCTTGAGCTCTGGCATCAATTGGCCGTTCGTTGGTTAAGTTGGCTGCCTGGTAGAGGAGGGTTTGTAGTTCTCCCCATGTAAAGGACCCTGTGATCCCACCGAGGTTCGTGAGCGCCCTCTTCAGAAGCTTCACGGCAGCCTCTGTAGCTCCATTCCTGTGTGGCGCATCTGCCGGGTGGAACTCCCACTTCCACTCGGTTCCATGTTTTGCAGCCACATTTTCCATGGATAGAGTCTGCAGGCACTCCAGGCGCTTGTAGAACTGCTGTAGGGCTGGTTTGGCGCCGATGAAGTTTGTTCCCCGGTCAGACCAGAGTTTCCTTGGATGCCCCCTCAGGGCGACAAAGCGAGTGTATGCCAGGAGGAAGCTTTCCGCTGACTGGTCATCAGTAAGGTCCGCATGGACCGCTCTGGAGACCATGCAGCAGTAAACAATCCCCCACACTTTCTTTGAAGTCCTTCTTTTCACACTATCCTTAACCTCGAAGGGGCCAAAGAGGTCAAGGGTGGTGAACTCGAAAGGGCAAGCTCTCTGGGTGCGTTCTAGGGGTAGGTCGCTCATGACTTGCTGGCATAGTTTGGCTCTTTGCTTTACACCTGATCACCCGTGAGTTGACGTTGTTTACTCACCACCAAATGACAGTGCACAAAACAACTATTTATTTACATCCCTACTCTATACCATTTCTGATACCATGGGGATAAAAAGAGAAACACTTAGAAAATATTTCTAATAACATAATAAACTCCCTTTTTTTTCATCTCAACATGGCGCTTGCTTTCTCAACAGAATCACATATGCTGGTCAAATAAGTCTCCAAATAAACGCAGCCAGAGTTAATGATTTCAAACCTCTCTGCAGAAACGATTCATTTCAAAATGTACAAAAAAATCCTTTGTTATAACTCTAGGTTCTTTCATGTTGGCATTTTGATCCCAACTGTCACAGGAGGAAAGTATCCTGGGTTGATGAGTTTTTCATAAAAGCCTGTTTCACAGATATAAAATGTCTAATTTTTTATTTTTTTTCAAATTCAGTATTAAAAAACAGTACAAATTCATTTCTGGATTGCTTTTTCACCAAAACTTTCACTTTCAAAATGTGTTATTTACGGGGTGCCACTTCTAAAGTAAGCAGTCGAAAATAAGGAGCAATACTTATGGTTAATTAACGTGTATTAAGACAAAAATAAGAGGGGGGTTATTTTATTTTTCCAAGTCATTTTTTCACCGTCATTCATTCATTTATAAAAATCTTACTTTGTTAAATAAATATTTAGTTTGTAATTTAAATATCTAGTTTGTTAAATAAATATTTAGTTTGCAAATTAAATATTTTGTTTATGTAAATATTCAAATATTTAGTTTGCTATTTAAATATCTAGTTTGTTAAATATTTAGCTCCAAATTAAATATTTAATTTGTTAAATAAATATTTAGTTTGCAAATTATTTAGTTTAACTAATATTTAGTTTGCAAATTAAATATTTAGTTTAACAAATATTTAGTTTGAAGCTAAATATTTAGTTTGCAAATCAAATATTTACATTGTTAAATAAATTTACTTGAAGCTAAATATTTAGTTTGAAAATTGAACATTTAGTTTGCAAATTAAATGTTTAGTTTAGTAAAGAAAAATTTAGTTTGCAAATTAAATATTTAGTCTGTTAAATAAATATTTAGTTTGTTAAATAAATATTTACTTTGTTAAATAAATTAACTTTGGAGCTTAATATTTCGTTTGTTAAATAAATATTTAGCTGCAAATTAATATTTAGATTGTTAAATCAATATTTAGTTTGCAAATTAAATATTTACTTTGTTAAATGAATTAACTTTGGAGCTAAATATTTAGTTTGGAAATTAAATGTTTACTTTGTTAAATGAATTAACTTTGGAGCTAAATATTTAGTTTGGAAATTAAATGTTTACTTTGTTAAATAATTGTTTATCTCCAAACTAAATATTTAGTTTGCAAACTAAATATTATGTATTATGTAGTTTGCAAATTAATTAACAAAATAAGATTTTTATAAGTGAATGAATAACATAGTGAAAAAATAACTTTTTCTCTTCAAACACGTTAACCATAAATATTGCTCCTAATTTTTGCCTGCTTACTTTACAAGCAGCGCCCTATAGCTGTTTGCTTGCAGCTATAGTGGAACCGATTCGACTCCTTCTCTGGTTCGAAGGCTCGGCCTGACGTTTATTTTTTGTTTTTCAGATCTGTCTAAGAACCGGCTGTGCGAGCTTCCTGACGAGCTCTGTCAGTTCATCTCTCTGGAGACGCTGAGCCTCTACCACAATGGCATGCGATTATTGTCCCCCAGCCTGGCCAACCTCCAGGCCCTCACCTACCTCAACCTCAGGTAACTCAACACCTGTCCATTGTTCTGGGCCAAAGATCCATGCATTTCTTTTATCTTCACCCTACCTGGTCTGGAACGGAAGGAGTGATTTAGAACGACCAAGACCAGGAAAAGCTGGAAAGGAAAGGATATCAAACACCGATCCATGTTGGCCTTCGCAGCTAAGCAGTGTGGTTATACAGGGGAATGCTCACTAACGGCAAACATTGACGCTGAATGAAAGAAGTTGTAGCTAATCATTAAAACTAAGCAGCTGCTGAGAGAAATGATCATGTGACCTTTTACCTCCAAATCCTGAGGTCGAGAGTAAGAACTTCTAGGCAGGTTCGTTGGCGTGCTCCTCCAGAGACGTTTTTAATTCCGTTATTTTAATCTGGCCACTTTCAGAGTCTTAAGGAGCAAAAACATCATTGTGACTTTTGAAAAGACTCGGCTGTGAATTTCTCCTCTCCTGCCAAACATTTCAGACGTCATGAACGTGATTTTATTCCATCTTTCTTTTGAAGTTTCCGTCTAAAACTGGTTAAAATATGTCACAAAACAAATTCCACTATAGTTAAAATGAGTTGCTTCATATTTACTTAAGTATTTAAAATGGTTAACCAGGCCCTATTACACTGTTATGTTGATGATGGTGCCTATTATAATAGGGATGCACGATATAATCGGCCCCCTATCGGTATCGGCCTTAAAACTGAATATCGGACATCGGCCTCCCCACCGATATTTAACCCGATATTTGATCAGCTTCTGAGTTTCTAAAGTCTAAAAAAAAAAAAAAAATACTACTTCTTCTTCTTCCTCAAAAACTTCTTTTTTACAGACTTAAAAACTTCTTTTTTACAGACTTAAAAACTTCTAAAGACGAGGGAAAAAATATTGATCCATTAAAATATCCCAATATCTTCATATGCTGATATATTGCTATTTAAAAACACCATATCAATCTCTTTTACTAATGAAATATTGCTATATGTCATCCTTATGCTACGAAATCCCCCGAAAATTCACCAAATGTTGCCCTATTTTTATATGTTGATATATTGACGCGGTATCGATCTATTTTACTAACAAAATCTCACAAGAATTTGCAAAATATCACGAGAGTTTGTAACAGAACGATGAAATTTCACCAGATTTTGAAAGTAAAATAGATCGATACCACGTTTTTAAAAATCTATTTGATATCAGCGTATGAAAATATATTTGAGTATTTTATTTTTCAAAGTGTCAGAAATGGATAACAAAACTGCTATTTTCAATGACTACTTATTTTTGTCCAGCTTTAACATCGGTATCGATATCGGTTACATGAGGTTTAAAATATCGGCATATCGGATATCGGCCAAAATCCCAATATCGTGCATCACTATATTATAACATATTTCTAATCTTACACAATACTTCAATTACCATGCTTTAAACATCCAACTTTTAAAGGAAAAGTCCGTTCCGCAGGAATAATCAAATGAAAAGAAACAAAAAATCTACTTTGAATAATTAAAATTCAAAGACTGCAGGGGCAATGGGACAATGCAACGATGTTAGCCACTTTTTTAGACTGTTTGGAGCAGCTAAGTCACATATTTTGCAAATGAAATACGATGATTTATATTTATAATAATAAAAATCAACCCTCTTATCTTATTTCAATTATATAAAAATCTAATTGTTATTGTAAGGGGGGAAAAAATACTTATTCTATTGTTAAATTATTTATTTAGATTCTCAAATTAAGGTCAAATATTCAATGGATCATTATAACTAAAACTATACGTTCGCAGTGATTTAATGATTTTAGCCTTAATCAGTAAAAAAATAATATTTTTTGTTGTGATCACTGAGTCTGGGAGCGGCCATTTTTGCCCATATATAGTAGCCCCTCCCTCCTGCCATCTTCCAGCAGTGACGTCACGGTGCGGTAAGCCTAGCGCCATTCTCCCCGCTTTCCAAGCTAAATCAATGGGAACTACTAGACACATCTGCAATCAACAACAATTATTGAAGATTTCCAGAGGACTTCACCATTGAAATTCACCTGAGCTATAGTGAAACTGACAATGCCCACGTGCATGGCAGCTGGATGCTGGAATACATCGGGTAAAAGTGGAAAAATAAAGAGTTATTCCACCTTTCTGATTCCTGATCCTCCACGGACGGGTTGGTCGTTGGATCGCCAACTTGAAGAGGGAGGATTTGCCATCGAACTTCTGGCCAGAGAAAAAACCCCTAATATGTAGCCAACATTTGGAAGAAGAATGTTTTCTAGATGACTTGGATAATAGCGCGTTGTGACAAACACCAGATACAGCACTGGGACTTGATCAACAGCCGATACCGCACCGTGACGTCACTAACCAGTAGGTGGCAGTAGCGTTCTTTGACAAACATGGACGCCTCCAGTAAAGCACATTCACATGAAAATTACTCTGAATTAAAAACACTGATCATTTATTGAACAGGATGGAATAATTTCAGATTTAAAGAACTTTCAGAAGTTTGAATTCTGAATATGAGCGACTTTTCCTTTAAATGTTTTTCCAAAAGCATTTCATCACTTATCCCCTCACTGGAAAAAATCTAAATCTTGATAAGTAATTTTTTCTTAAAATAAGTGCATCTGTTCTTGGATTGAGGATGTTAAAGTTACATTTTTCCAATTAAACAAGACAATTTACACATGAAATAAGAAAACACAATTGCATCGTCTTTTTTTAAGTGCATTTTATTTAATTATCTTATTCTAAGAGTAAAAATACTCATTCCATTGGCAAACTATCTCATTTACCTGCTCAAATCAAGGGTAAATACACTTAATCTAAGAAATACTTACTTATCTCTAGATTGTTTTTCCAGTGCTAACTTTACCAATGCTGGGGGGCAAATAAATCTAAAATATTATGTTATAATGTTTACATCCTGCTTTATAATCCAGATGGTTTTCAAAGCAGGAAGTTCTGCTTCTCAGGGTCAAAAGCTTCTGGGTATAACTGAGGTTGTATTTTGGCTTAGAGATGATTTTTTTAAATAATCTTAGGTTTTCTCTAATGTTTTCTTCACCGCTCGACTTCTCACTCCTCCACGCTATAATTTTACCGTTGCTAGGAGACTAAAAAGCCCTCCGGGTTGCCGTAACGCAGTCAGACTTTATTAGAAAAAAATGAAACTTGTAATTCGGCAGCCTGATTAGGAAAAAAACCTCCTGGAGTAACTGAGATTCTCCCACATATCACAACTCTTTCTTTGTTTTTCTCGTTCAAGCAGAAACGTTTTCGTTGTGTTTGGTTCTTTGAAATGTGTCCCCATGCTGCAGGGGAGATCAGTGACATCACTGCTAATGTTCACGTCTTTCTTCGTCTCCACAGTCGGAACCTCCTGTCCAGTTTGCCTCCTTCCATGTTCCAGCTTCCCCTCCTGCGAGTTCTTATCGTCAGCAACAACAAGCTGTCCTCTCTGCCCTCGTCCATCTACTCGCTCACGCACCTCCGACAGCTGGTACGGCGCACACACTCAGATCTCCTTCTGCTCCTCCTCCTGCTCCCTCTGAGACACAGATCATTTCATCTACATGTGAAGGACCGCCTCAGTTTTATTTCACTGAAATAAACGCCAGGATTCTGCTTCTCACACTGGAAAAAAGTCATTTTTTCTTAAAATAAGTACATTTGTTCTTGGATTGAGGAGGTAAAAGAGACATTTTGCCAATGGAACAAGACAATTTACACTTAAAATAAGAATTGCATTGTCTTATTTCAAGTGCATTTTATGTAATCATCTTATTTTAAGGGTAAAAATACTAATTCCATATGCAAACTAAACCTGCATACCTACTCAAATTAAGGATAAATACACTTAATTTAAGGAATTTTTACTTATATCTAGATCGTTTTTCCAGTGCAGACTCCTAAACTTTAGAGTTTGTACCCAGTGATGGAAGTATTGATACTCGGAGTGAAATCTTACTCCTCTACAAGTAAAAGTTACTCAGTCAAACATCTACTCAAGTTAAATTATGGAAGTACTCACTTTTAAAACGTACTTAAAGTCGTAGGGAAGCGGCTGTTCCAACCGCTGCATTTCTGAATTCTCCCGAGTGGTGCCCGACTTTACACGAGTGAATAAAGTGAATGTGATTGGTTGATTATCAAGGGGGCGGGATTGTTGTGGCCGGTTTTGTCGGAAGCATCTTGCTAACCAGTTAGCAACTTAGTGCTAGCAGGTTCCCAATGGGAAATTCCATTGGGACCAAGTAGCACTAAATTGGTGACTTAGAAACGACGCTGTCAAGGAACGCTATGGACAGAGGAAACATGCAAGAGGAGGAGAGTTTAGTGTCGGAGGTCGTGGATGAGTCTCCTCCCTCTTCTTTTAATGGAGCCAGGCTCAGACTGGTAATCTGTGATAGCGGGCATTTGCCCGGTGGGTCGGTCCTAATTTCAGCATGGAAGGGCCGGCTCTCCTTAAACCATCCCAGCTCCAACACTTCCTCTCTGGTTGAAGCTCCTACCTGTGACAGTAAATGACTGAAAGAGCTCCAATCCAATGTTAACTACCCAAATGATGCATGCAGTATATATAGCCCTTCCTCGTCATGCTCATCCTTCTGACGGTTGGCATATTGTGTCATTTTCTATTTATTATAGATTATAATTTAACTAAAATGCTTTCTTTAAACCAAACTATGCTGTTCCTCTTATATTTGGCGAAATTATTTTTGAATATTTTGCAAACATATGTTGCGGTGCATGATTATGGAAGAAAAACAGTCTCATTGGAATCTTTTTTAACACAGAATTTTAAACACTGATTTTTTTTTTAGACATTGAATTCCTTACACTCAATTTTTATCTGGTAAAAATTCAGCTGCAAAATAAATTCAGCTGCAAAAAAAATTCAACTGCAAAAAAATTCAGCTGCAAAAAAATGTAGCTCAAAAAAATTCAGCTGCGAAAAATTTCAGCTGCAAAAAAATTCAGCTCCGCAAACATTCAGCTGCAAAAAGTCAGCTGCAAAATTCAGCTCCGCAAACATTCAGCTGCAAAAAGTCAGCTGCAAAATTCAGCTCCACAAACATTCAGCTGCAAAAACATTCAGCTGCAAAATACTTCAGCTGCAAAAAAACTCAGCTGCAAAAACAAAGTCAGCTGCAAAAAACTTCAGCTGCAAAAAAACTCAGCTGCATAAAAAGTCAGCTGCAAAAAAAAAGTCAGCTGCAAAAAAAATTCAGCTGCATAAAAAGTCAGCTGCAAAAAATGTAGCTGCAAAAATTCAGCTGCAAAAATTCAGCTCCGCAAACATTCAGCGGCAAAAATTCAGCTCCGCAAAAACATTCAGCTGCAAAAACATTCAGCTGCAAAAACATTCAGCTGCAAAAACATTCAGCTGCAAAAACATTCAGCTGCAAAAACATTCAGCTGCAAAAACATTCAGCTGCAAAAACATTCAGCTGCAAAAACATTCAGCTGCAAAAGCATTCAGTTGCAAAAAACTTCAGCTGCAGAAAAGGTCAGCTGCAAAAAAAAGTCAGCTGCAAAAATTCAGCTGCAAAAAAATTCAGCTCCGCAAACATTCAGCTGCAAAACAAAATTCAGCTGCAAAAACATTCAGCTGCAAAAACATTCAGTTGCAAAAAACTTCAGCTGCAAAAAAACTCAGCTGCATAAAAAGTCAGCTGCAAAAATTCAGCTGCAAAAAAATTCAGCTCCGCAAACATTCAGCTGCAAAACAAAATTCAGCTGCAAAAACATTCAGCTGCAAAAACATTCAGCTGCAAAAACATTCAGTTGCAAAAAACTTCAGCTGCAAAAAAACTCAGCTGCATAAAAAGTCAGCTGCAAAAAAAAGTCAGCTGCAAAAAAAATTCAGCTGCAAAAATTCAGCTGCAAAAAAATTCAGCTCCGCAAACATTCAGCTGCAAAAAGTCAGCTGCAAAATTCAGCTCCACAAACATTCAGCTGCAAAAAGTCAGCTGCAAAATTCAGCTCCACAAACATTCAGCTGCAAAAAGTCAGCTGCAAAATTCAGCTCCACAAACATTCAGCTGCAAAAAACTTAAGCTGCAAAAAAACTGAGCTGCATAAAAAGTCAGCTGCAAAAAAGGCAGCTGCAAAAAAAAATCAGCTGCAAAAATTCAGCTGCATAAAAAGTCAGCTGCAAAAAATTTAGCTTCAAAAATTCCGCTGCAAAAAAATTCAGCTCCGCAAACATTCACCTGCAAAAAACTCAGCTGCAAAAAAATTCAGCTGCAAAAAATTCTGCTGCAAAAGTGTTGACCTTTTGGTGAACTCAAGCCAAAGCAATCTACACTCCATAGAGTCGAGCAGCTTCTAGCCAATGAAATTAGCTCATTTGGTCACGTGACACATTTGGTCACGTGACACCTAGTCTGGCAGTGAATGCTGACACACCGCTGGGCTTTGGCGGTGGACCGGAGTAGATGGAAAAAATGCCAGGACTGAAAATAGTTCCCAGTCCGAGCCTGAATGGAGCGCTCACAGAGCCCAGAGTGTTCAATTAAAAGTTCTCTTTTCTGTTATTCAGTAAAAGTTCGTTTTAAGATCATTTGAGGGGAGAACATTATACTTTTAAGCATCACTATATAGCCCATTTACAGATAAAACATAAATAAATAAATGTTTTGGTCTGAAAAACAAGGTTTGCTTTTCACCGTCAGGACGTCAGCTGCAACGAGCTGCAGAGTTTACCACCAGAAATGGGTCAGCTGGAGAGTCTGAGGGACTTAAACCTGAGGAGGAACCAGCTCACCACTCTGCCTGAAGGTACGGAGAGATCCAGGTCGCTCACCTGTGACCCCTGGGAACTGGTTTGCATGTTGGATTAAACCTCATTCCTCTGATATCAGTAAACTCTGTCCCTCCAGAATGCATTTAGATTTTCTCTGCAGGAGCTGAACATTATTGCTCCACTAATTGCTATTGATCTTCTCATCGTTGATGGAGGCTTAATGCAGAGAATGATTTACAGTAAAGTTCTGTGAATGAAGCTGCAGCTCCGGCTCATCCCACCATGTTTTCCTTCTGCACCTAGAAATATCCGAGCTTCCTCTCGTTCGGCTCGACGTGTCCTGCAATAAAATCTCCCACGTGCCTCTGTGTTACCGCCACCTGCGGCATCTGCAGACCATCTCCCTGGACAGCAACCCTTTGCAAATGCCACCCGCACAAATCTGCTCCAAGGGCAAATACCACATCTTCAAGTACCTGAACATGGAGGCCTGTAAGAACCACGAGGAGCTGGAGAAGCACCTGAACCTGAGGCCCACTGGATTCAAAAGCTGGTGAGGAAAAGCTGCACCTACCTGAACCTTTGCTGTCATGGCAACAGCTATAAATATAAACACTTCCTGCATGCAACACAAAAACTCTCTGCTTCTATTTCCCTGAAATACTCGTTTTGCTTGGTAAGATGTTGGGAAAAATGTAGGAAAACCCTAAATATCTGATTTTTTTTGTCACAGATTTTTATTCAGCTTTAAGCCTGGACTTTGACTAGGCCATTCCATCACAAGAGCTAAACAACCTTTACAATCCAAAGAGCCATTTCTTTCTCAGTTAAATAAAACTTAAGGCCACTTTATGCTTCTGACGCATAGCCTCTGTACTGAAGAGGATTAGGGCCAGTGGAAAAAAAAAAAAGTTAACTGATTTTTAAATTTTATTTCAGTTTAGTAAAGGAAAAAAGTCAGAATTCTGAGAAAAAAGTCAGAATTCTGACTTTTTTCTCAGAATTCTGACTTTAATCTCAGAATTCTGACTTTTTTCTCAGAATTCTGACTTTAATCTCAGAATTCTGACCGAACTCTGACAATAAAAAAGTCAGAATTCTGAGATTAAAGTCAGAATTCTGAGATTAAAGTCAGAATTCTGACTTTAATTTCAGAATTCTGACTTTTTTCTCAGAATTCTGACTTTAATCTCAGAATTCTGACTTTAATCTCAGAATACTGACCGAACTCTGACAATAAAAAAGTCAGAATTCTGAGATTCTTCCCATGTTAAACTGAAATTAAATTTAAAAATCTGTTAAGAATTCTGAGATTAAAGTCAGAATTCTGAGATTAAAGTCAGAATTCTGAGATTCTTCCCATGTTAAACTGAAATAAAATGTAAAAATCAGTTAACTTTTTTTTTTCCAGTGGCCCTAACCCTCTTCTGTATCTCTGCAACCATCAAATCTGTCTCAAAGAAATCCTGACTATGCGTTGGACGGTCGCAAACCTGCGAAGACCTCAAGCTGAAGTGCGCAGACAAAAAGCAGCTGTGATTGGTCCTTGGTATGCCTTTCCAGCTGTCTGTGTGGTCGTCCTTCTTGATTCGGTACCGGGGCGCGGCGTTTTTAAAAACCGAGGAACAACTACAATGGACAACTATGATGAAAGGTTAATCAAGGAGGTTCGGAAGAACAACCACTTGTACTATGCCTCAGACAAATTATATAAAAAAATATATCCTCTTCGATTTCTAGCAACTCTAGATCCATCTCTGTGATATCTTGCAGATGCGCTATTGTTGTTTTGGAAGATAAACACTCCCGCCGGCGCCGCTGAAGTTCTTGTGACCATTCGCTAAAGTTCTCACGAGTTCTTGAATAGGCTTCTTCTTGCGCTTTGGCAGTGATCTGCTGCGCATTCCTAGAAATTCCAGACCGACTGTTAGGGTAAATAATAATGGTTTTGTATCGATGCATCGATCCAACAGCCGACGATCCGATGCATCGACACGTCCGCAAGAGAATCGATTCATGTTTGTTTTGTTTTTTCCTCCGGTCTATTTTTATCCATTTGCTCCTGGGCGTAATTCTCCTCCCGTGCTGCGGTGGCGCTAAACCTATTTTGCCCTCCTACCTCGCTTCCTGGTTATACTCTTACAGCAGTGTGTTGCAGTGAGCTTGATGCAGACATTTTTGATTTATGCCCAATATTGAAGCGTGGTCTGTGCTACACGCTGTGAGTCTAGATACGGCCGAGGCGGCGAGGAAGTGGGGGCGAGTTTAGTCTGACGACGGAGGGACATGAGGGCAAAAAGAGCGGAGATCCAGGTGGATTTTTATAACTAATTTTATATAATTATATAAAATATAAATAATATAATAATTTATATATAATATATTTATATATATATATATATATATATATAATTATATACCAAACTGAAAGATTTTTGTTCTCTACAGTTTAGATTTTAAAAAGGAAAAAACTTTCTATTTTTTATATTTTTTATTTAAAAGTTCAATGCATAACTTGGATGCATAAACACCTGCATTTTATTTCAGTGTTAAATTCTGTTTAAAGTAACAGATAATTAAAAATGTCTGCGGACCTTTACTGGTTGATGATTTTCTTTATTTTGACCCCTCTGATATTTAATTGGTGACCCCTGGTCTGAGTGTTTTTTTTTCAAAGAGGTCTGACTGATGTTGAAGTATACTAAAGTGGTGGAATGGCCTCGTCTTAGATGAGCACTTGTAGAATTACTATTTTTGCAGATATTTCAGGCATATTTTGAAAGCTGCTTGCCAGGATATAAGACAGTGTTTCTTCCTGCTAGGATACAATTCTTAATTATTTTTACATAGAAAATCCAAGCCAGAATAGTTTTTTTTTACATTCAGAGCTGTTTTATGAAGCATACCACAGACACAGCAGAGCATTTACAGTAAATCAGAATTTACAGGTGAAAACTAGAGAGTATATTCTTTACATGGAGCCCAGAACTTTATTTCTACTCCATATGGCCCAAGAGTTACAAATGTTTGAATTTGGAGAGGCCTTTTTAGGCGTTTTTCAGCTGAAAATTTTGGGAATGTTAAGCAGGGTTCCCGCAGGTCCTTAAAAAGTCCTTAAAGGCATTGAATTCTTCAAAATAAAACTAAGGCCTTAATTGGTATTAAAATGTCTTAAATCAGTCTTTTGTAGGTCTTAATTTTTAAAACATCATAAATAGGATTATTTTTATTACGATTTATTTTTGTAATCTAAATAAAACGTTAAAATTTACCTTTTTTTTTGTTTTTATTGCCATTATTGGTTCCGTCCCGATAGCGGAACCAATAAAACTGATTTTTGTTCCCTGCTAAAACAAAGTTTGTGAATTCAGTTAAATAATTGTTTAAATATATCTGTCATTTGTGTGTTTTTAGCTTTCTTCCTGTATGGGAAGCTTTTCAAAATTTGAAACATTAGTGCAGTGGTTTATGTTAAAATAAACCTTTGGGTTAAAGTTGTCGCAAGCAGGTTTTTCTTGTGTTTCTTGTGAATTTGGTCTTAAATTTTTATTTCAAGTGGCTTTAAAAAGTCTTAAAAACTCTTGAATTCAACTTGCCTTATGCTGTAGGAACCCTGGTTAAGGGTTTTAATTTGAGCCTATTTTATGCGCGTTATCAGCTGCTGGCCACGCCCACCAACTCTGTGTTTACGCTACCATTTTACACAGCTGACAGAAATCTTGTCATGACCATAAAGCTGCCAGGCGGTCAGCAGCCTGGCCGTGCTGCAGACTCTGCCTGCAGTCTGTTTTTGCATTGAAAGTGAGTCACACATGATGCAAAACATCCCCGATTCCGCCCTGGATTAAAAGCCGGATGGAAATATAATGTAAATACAATCTTTAGGCTACTGGCATATTTTTGTGTTTTTCCTTCTAAAATGGATCCTTCCCTGGAAGTGAATAACTCATCCACAAACCTAAAAAAAAAACAGTATAATTGGGTTTAGATAAAATATTATTGAAAACTTTTTTTTTGAGAGTTTTAAATTTTGAAAACAACCTAAAAATGCAAATTCTGTTTTCTAGAAACTTTTTTTGCCCCCATAATAAATATTTAGAGGTTTACTGTCGGTGTTTCTGAACTCAGCGGCTGCGTCCTTCAAGTTAGCCGCTTAAGTTAGCCATATTAGCTTTTTGGTTCGACCATTTTTCGATGGAAGTCGGTCTAGGTACCAGATCTGCTCGGGGCCCCGCCCCTTCTTACGACGTCAACATATGGCAACTCCACTCGGACAAACTGTATTGCACCCATTTCTTAAAGGAATAGTACACCCAAAACATGATTAGCCTTCATTTTCTACTCACCCCCATGCTGAACAACACTCTGGAGTACTTTTTTGATATCTCAAATGCATCTGGAGATCTGGGAGGCTTCTTGCTGTCTGCTGACATTCAAATAATGGAGGTCTATGGCGCCCGAGGCAGAAAGGTCCATAAAAGTCCACAAAAAACGTGTCAATATTCCTCCATACTGCTCGTCCAATGTATTCCAAGTGTCCTGAGTGGGTAGCGTCCAGAATTTACTCAAAACGAAGTCATTTAGAATGTTTTTAGAGCATAAACAGTAGTGTATAGGATTTCCTGAAAGCGCGTTCACGAGTCTACGGAAACCGCGGCAGACCAAACCAGATGAAAGTGCGCATTCAGCGTCTGCTCTGCCGATAATGCAAGCGTAGAAGAAGAAATGTGCTGTTTACCTGTGCAAAGAAAGAAACAACGAAAGAAAAATGTCTGAGGACTTCAGTGTTGAGGAAGAGCATGAGTTCTTTGCCGAGCTGAATGCGCACTTTCATCTGGTTTGGTCTGCCGCGGTTTCCGTAGACTGTGAACGCGCTTTCAGGAAATCCTTTACACTACTGTTTATGCTCTAAAAACATTCTAAATGACTCTGTTTCGAGTAAATTCTGGATGCTACCCACTCAGGACACTTGGAATACATTGGACGAGCAGTATGGAGGAATATTGACACGTTTTTTGTGGACTTTTATGGACCTTTCTGCCTCGGGCGCCATAGACCTCCATTATTTGAATGTCAGCAGACAGCAAGAAGCCTCCCAGATCTCCAGATGCATTTGAGATATCAAAAAAGTACTCCAGAGTGTTGTTCAGCATGGGGGTGAGTAGAAAATGAAGGCTAATCATGTTTTGGGTGTACTATTCCTTTAAGGATCAAAGCTCTTTTGAAATCTCAACATATTATTACCTATATTTGCTATATTACATTTAATCTGCGATCTAAAGTAGCTGAAAGTAGAAAACGATCATCGTTAGCCTGGAAGGAAAGTACTGACTTCTAAGACGGACTGAATTCTGCCATTTAATAAGGTGACAAAAAAAAAAGTCTTTGCTCTTTTTATGAAGATCTGTACGGAAGAGGATTAGGGCCACTGGAAGAAAAAAAAAAAAGTGAACTGATTTTTTTTATTTTATTTCAGTTTAACATGGGGAAAAAGTCAGAATTCTGACTTTTTTCTCAGAATTTTGGATCTTGATGTAAATGGGCACCATGAAGGCAGAGATGTGGAGCACTCAGCTTCACTGACAAAGATGTGAGTTGGTTGAAGTGGCCAGTGACACATTGGTGGAAAATGACGGAAATAGGCAACTTTTTACGTGGCCGAGGGGTCCCCTCATTAATGGAGGAGCAGAAGGTCATTAAAACAAGAGAGCTAGTCTCTAAAACAGACATGGCTATGGCTTGATGCTAACATGTTTGTTAGCTGTCAGAATTCTGAGAAAAAAGTCAGAATTCTGACTTTTTTCCCATATTAAACTGAAATAAAATTAAAAAATCAGTTAACTTTTTTTCAGTGGCCCTAATCCTCTTCCGTAGATCTGAGGGCAGAAGAGGACAATTGGAAAATCGATAGATTTTCATGTGATTGATCTTTCTGCGAGATGAACCCACCAACATTTTTTAGAGTCATCTAAAAAATGTAATTAAACATAGTAGATAGGTGGGGGGGGGGGGGGGGGGGGGGGGAGACAAAGGGGTTGAATTTCAACTCAAAAATAAACGTCACAGTTTCCCAGAGAAGCCTGTTTGTGCTAGCGTGTAAACACTGTTTTCATTTCCTCTCCTCCTGCAGCCTGTCGGACCAGGAGCTGTTCTCAGCTCAGTTTGGTGGCCTGGACTCTGGATTTAACAGCGTGGACAGCGGCAGCAAGCGCTGGTCTGGGAACGAGGTAGAGAAAATTCATCTTTATTAGACAGACTTTATTAACAGTGGAGGAAAAGAGCAATTCCTACAAATTCAGTCCTGGTTAGTTTAGTGGAAGATCCTACCGGTCACGCCTTGAAGATCCTCCTGGCGATGCCTGGAAGATCCTCCTGGCGATGCCTGGAAGATCCTCCTGGCGATGCCTGGAAGATCCTCCTGGCGATGCCTGGAAGATGCTCCAGGTGGCGCCTGGAAGATGTTCCAGGCGTCGCCTGGAAGATCCTCCTTTTAGTTTATAATTTCCTGTCTGTCATCAGGACGGTAAATGAAATGATCTTCTCCTGTGTTTTTGCTGATGTGCTCAGTCAGCAGATGACTTCTCGGAGCGCTCCATTCAGATGGCCGAGGCCCACAGGGAGCGGAGCAACCTGGAGGAGGAGGATGAGGAAGAGGAGCGCCCCCTGGAGGCCAACAATGGTGGGGACCGAGGGTTGATCATTGTTTAGCAAAGTGATTTTGGCTCAGTTCAGTCCTGGACTTTTTTTCTTCTTTTTTTTTTTTTCTGTCAGTGAACGGAGCAGCTGAGGAGGTCGGCTTCATTCACAGCAGAGTGATGGAGGAGGTGGAGGAGATCAGGATAGATCCGCCCACTCCTCCTTTCAGCATGCCTCCTTCGGTACGGTCACACTCGTCTTCCTCACCGGTTGATGTTCGACATGTTGGACCTTCTCCTCCAGAGCCCAGTTAGATGCTGCATTAAGGAAACTTCTGGAGATTCCTTTCTTCCTTCCTTTCGTTCGTTCGTTCCTTCCTTTCATTCCTTCCTTTCTTCCTTCCTTCCTTCCTTCCGTTCATTCGTTCCTTCCTTCCTTTCCTTCGTTCGTTCCTTCCTTTCATTCGTTCCTTCCTTCCTTTCATTCATTCCTTCCTTTCATTCGTTCCTTCCTCCCTTCCTTCCTCTCTTTCGTTCCTTCCTTCCTTCCTTTTCCTCGTTCCTTCCTTTCCTTCGTTCCTTCCTCCCTTCCTTCCTCTCTTTCGTTCCTTCCTCCCTTCCTTCCTCTCTTTCGTTCCTTCCTTCCTTTGTTCCGTCCTTCTTTCTTCCTCCCTTCCTTCCTCTCTTTCGTTCCTTCCTTCCTTCCTTCCTTCCTTCTTCCTCCCTTCAGGAGGTCTGATATTCCCTGATGTTTTTTTAGTAAAGCACAGCTTCCAGCTGTAGGAAGTTGAATTTTAGCTCTGTTGCAGAGGAAGGAGACCTTTCAGGCACCATGTTGTCTAATCAGACAATCTGTGATTTTTCCAGGAGCAGGAGAAATATTCATCGTCCCAAAGCCAAGACGCAGCAACCTGCAGGTCAGTCTTTCCTTAAAGCCTCCTAATGCTACATTCACACTTTGAGCCGCAGAATCAGCAGGTTTACATACAAAGTCTATAGCGCCAATTCACAACACCTGTCAACTAACAGATTCTGCAGAGTGGGAGAACAGAGATAGAATGAAGCAGAATGATGAAAAAGTCAAAGTCAAAGTCAAAAAGCCTTTATTGTCATTATATTCTGTGACAAATACAATGAGATTTGGGACTTCCATAACAGCTACCGTGAAATAAAAATAAAATAAAAATATATAAAAAATATATAGATATATTAAAAGGAAAGGAAATGTAAACAGTTACAAAAAATATATATAAATATATTAAAAGGAAATGTAAACAGTGAAAAGGAAATGTAAACAGTGAAAAGGAAATGTAAACAGCACTGGCACAGATTGTGGGGGGGGGGATAGTGCAAAACAGGTGTAAAGTGACCGACAGTGCAGGTCGGAGTTGAGGGGGGGCAATGGCTCGGGGGAAGAAACTGTTCTTGAGTCTGTTTGTCCTGATCCTCATTTGCCTGTAGCGCCTTCCAGAGGGCAACAGGTCAAACAGGGTGGAGCCAGGGTGGGAGCTGTCCTTGGAGATGGCCCTGGCTCTGCTGAGGCACCGGGTGGAGTAAATGTCTGCCAGGGAGGGGAGAGGGCGACCGATAATCCTCTGCGCCGCCTTTATCACCCTCTGCAGCCTCTCCCTGTCGGCAGCGGTGGAGCTGCCGAACCATACTATGATGCAGTAGGTCAGCAAGCTCTCGATGGAGGAGCGGTAGAAGGCCAGCAGCAGATCAGAGTTGAGGTTATACCTTCTGAGGATTCTCAGGAAGTGTAACCTTTGCCGGGCCTTCTTGATGATGGTGGTGATGTTCTCTGACCAGATGATGCGGTCAGAGATGTGGACGCCGAGGTATTTGACGCTGTGAACCCTCTCCACCTGCTCGCCGTTGATGAAGAGGGGAGCTGGCTCAGGGCTGTGCCTCCTGAAGTCTATGATGAGCTCGTTGGTTTTCTTGGTGTTCAGAGTCAGATTGTTCTCTGAGCACCAATCAGCCAGCTTCAGGACCTCCTCTCTGTAGGCGGCCTCGTCGCCCCTGGAGATGAGACCGACCACAGCGGTATCGTCGGCGTACTTGATGATCTGGTTGTGGTTGTGGATCGGTCTGCAATCGTGGGTGTAGAGGCAGAAGAGGAGGGGGCTCAGCACACAGCCCTGTGGGGAGCCGATGCTCAGCGTGCGGGTGGAGGAGAGGTGGGGGCCAACTCTCACAGCCTGGGGTCGGTCGGTCAGGAAGTTGTTAATCCAGGCACATGTGAGAGGGGGGAGTCCAAGGGAGCCCAGTTTGATGATGAGTCTGTCCGGGAGGATGGTGTTAAAGGCCGAGCTGTAATCCACAAAGAGCATCCGGACGTAGCTCTGCTGCTGCTCCAGGCGGTTCACAGCAGAGTGGAGAGCCACGGCAACGGCGTCCTCTGTGGATCGGTTGGCCCGGTATGCAAACTGTTGGGGATCCAGGTGTGGGGGGAGACAGTCCTTGATGTGCTGAAGAACCAGCTTCTCAAAGCACTTCATGATTACCGGAGTGAGGGCCACTGGGCGGTAATCATTCAGGCTGGTGATGGCAGACTTCTTCGGCACTGGGATGATGGTGGAGGTTTTCAGGCGGGACGGAACGGTGGCTTGGGCCAAGGACAGGTTGAAGAGCCTGGTGAAGGTGGGGGCGAGCTCGCCCGCGCATGCCTTTAGCACCTTGCCAGGGACTCCGTCTGGGCCTGCGGCCTTCCTGGGGTTCACTGCCAGTAGCACCTTCCTGACGTTGTGCTCCTGGACAGTGAGTGGGGGGGTGTCAGCGCTGGGTGGGGGAGGGGACAGGGCAGGGACAGGGGAGGGCCGCTGGGATTCTCCAAACCGAGCAAAGAAGCTGTTTAGCTCCTCTGACAGCTGTGCGCCCTGTTGTTCAGTTTGAACGACGCTGCCCCTGAAGTTGGTGATCTCCTGGATGCCCTGCCACACCTTACGGGTATTGTTACTGGACAGTTGGGACTCCAGCCGTTGTCTGTGGTCTGCTTTAGCCTCTTTGACCCCTCTCTTCAGCTCAGCTCTGGCAGCACTATACAGAGCTCTGTCTCCTGACCTGAAGGCGGCGTCACGGGCTCTAAGAAGGGAGCGGACCTGACTGGTCATCCAGGGCTTCTGGTTGGGGAAGACCCGGATAGTTTTGGTCACAGTCACATTACTGGTGCAGAAGTGGATGTAGTCCAGTACTGTGTCTGTGTGTGCTCCCAGCTCCTGGTGTTCGAACAGGTCCCAGTTTGTCCATTGAAAAAAAAGGGGTCCCTATGTCCTCCAGCAGTCTAAGCCTATAGCAGCAGAACTATAGAGATAGCTCAGGATAACCTGAGCCACTCTAACTAGAAGCTTTATCAAAAAGGAAAGTTTTAAAAGTTTGTAAAGAATCAAAACGTTTAACTTCTTTCTGGATGCTCTGAATCGTTTTAAATCGTTAAACGGTCAGCATCCTTCAGATGGCCAGGGGTCCAGAACAGCTCTGTTATTGGAGTCCTGATTTTCCTTGAGCTCCATCTGTCCGAAGCATCAGATCCACTCATTCAGCCGTGATGATGCTCAACACCTCAGGAAAACGGGACACGTAGCCAAGCTTCCACTGTGTCCTTTAATAAAGCAGAGCTTCCTGTCGGCTCAGACCGACGCTGAACGTCCTGCAGCAAGCGGATGTTCCACATTTCGGCCTCCAACGCTTCCTCTGGGACGGCTAAAAATAGGACGGAGGCTGGAGCCCAGAACTGACGTTCTGAGCATTTCTGGAGCAGCTTCCACTGTGGAACCGAGCCAGTTTTAAAAAAATGTCTTCCTGACGAGATATAAGCCAGCTGTCCCTGATGTCTGCCCGCTAATCGCACTGCTTTAAAAAAAAAAACGGCCTTAGAAAAGTATTTGCACCCATGGCAACCACCGACTCACATGTGTTTTATTGGGGTTGAATGTAACAGACCCACAGAAACCTAACTAACCGTGGAATGAAATAAAAACAATATATTTAGTCTTTTCCTATCTTCTGGATCTAAAAACTGTGGATTTCTGTTCCATCCCCCTTTACCCTGATGGCACTAAATAAAAAGCTCTCAGCTATCAGAAGCTCAACACTCAGGAAATGAGAGTCGACCTGTTTGCAGTTCTGCTAGACCGATAACGTAGCTAACATTTGGTTGACGGGATCAGCGTTTTGGCTAACGTTAGAGGCTGTTAGCTTCCGTTACATCGGGTTCCGGTAACAAACGCAAAACGATGCAGAAGCTGATCAGTTTCTGGCCTTCAGAGAACAACCAGTCTGGAGGGAAGTTCTGTTTAGCCGCTACGCCGGAGTCAACAGCTTCATTTCTAGAATATAGAGTTGGGCCTTTTTTTTTTTTTTTTTTTTTTAGTGTTCAGTCCTGTTTCTCTCCAGGCCTCTTCCTGTTTAAAGGGAGTTTTTCTTCTCCATCATTGCTGTGGCTTGATGGCTGGCTGGTCAATTTAAGAGCAAATCTGGATTTTATTCAACACTTCGTTTCCATGGTAACAGCATCATGCAGTGAGGATTCTTATCCTCTGTGAGGCTCCTAAATCATCAGCCTAAGATGCTTTGGAGCAGAGCAGATTCACGGCCTGGTCAAAGCCCAGACTAGAGACCACTTATGCGACGTTCACACAGCAGCCTGAAGTGACCCAAATCTGATTTTATTTTATGTATTTTTTTGACCTGTATCTGATCTTTTCATGACTGAGTCTGACCAACTCTATTCCAATGTGACCCAGGCTACTTGGCTCTGTGGTCCCGTATTCGGATACGATCGCATTCATCCGACCTGAACCCCATTAACACTCAACAAAGGGCCCTATTCTGCATCAGGAAGAAAAACAACCATGGCGGACGATAAGGAGAGCAGTCTTTATTTTCAACCTTGAAACGATTACGTTTTTAATCTCACTTCACGGTTCACCAGATCATCCAGTCAGATTCAAAGTTTTCTATCTAAGGAAGACCAGCTGATTGCATCGACTCATTGACTCTTCAGCAATCCCTCACACTAAGCATGCTTGTAGCGACAGTGGAGAGGAAAAACTCCCTTTTAACAGCAAGAAACCTCCAGCAGAACCAGGCTCAGTGTGAGCGGCCATCTGCTGAGGCCGACTGGGGTTCAAGGAGACAGAAGCAGACATAGAAAAAGAAGCATAGATACAAAAGGCAACTGTCAACCAGCTCCACAGGCGGCCCCGTCCAGGAAACACACAGCCAGGCAGACGAGCTCCGAGCCAGCTCCCACGTCAGAGGATGAAGAGAGCACATCCAGTTAGTCACAGTCAGAGAAACAGGACTACACTGAAAAACAGGCCAAGCTCCAACATCTAGAAACAAAGGTGTTGATGGCAGCAGCACAGCTGATATTTCTCTCCAGGATGGAGTCACAGCCAAACAGGAACAGACCAGATGAAGCTGCATGTCGCTTCACTTCGTCCTCTACTGCGTTTGCATTTCACACAGGAGATCACGTACAAGCTGCATTTATCTGGAAATGTGAGCGACCGCGCAGAAGAATCTGATTTCACAAAAACATCGGAATCGAGCATTAAGGCCTGCAGTGTGAATCTTAAACCCAGATCTTTTGAAAAATGTTTTAATCTGTGGATGAGCTAAATCTGCAGATGACTCAGATAAATACATTTTAGATTTTATTTGGAAAAACACAACAACAACAAAAAAACATGGATTATTTCAATCAGGGTCACAGAATACCAATGAAATATCTTCAATTCAATTCAATTCAATTCAGTTTATTTATATAGCGCCAAATTCACAACACATGTCATCTCAAGGCACTTTACAGTTCAACCAGATCATACAGTCAAATTGATACAAAGTTTTCTATCTAAGGAAAACCAGTTGATTGCATTGACTCATTGACTCAAATACAATCCCCCACACTAAGCATGCTTGTAGCGACAGTGGAGAGGAAAAACTCCCTTTTAACAGGAAGAAACCTCCAGCAGAACCAGGCTCAGTGTGAGCGGCCATCTGCCGAGGCCGACTGGGGTTCAAGGAGACAGAAGCAGAGATACAAAAAGCAGCTGTAAAAGGCGGCCCCGTCCAGGAAACACACAGCCAGGCAGACGAGCTCCAAGGCAGCTCCCATGCCAGAGGACGAAGAGAGCACATCCACTCAGTCACGGTCAGAGAAACAGGACCACACTGGAAAACAGGCCGATCTCCAACATCTATTAACAAGGGTGTTGATAGAAGCAGCACAGCTGATGTTTTTTTCCAGGATGACGTCACAGCCAAACAGGAACAGACGAGGCAAAGCTACTCTGAGAAAAAGCAGAGAGAGCAGAAGGTTAGAGATTGAACTAACAGATTCTGCAGAATAGGAGAACAGAGAGAGAATGAAGCAGAATGATGAAATGGGGGTCCCTATGTCCTCCAAAAGTCTAAGCCTATAGCATCTTCAGGTTATCGATTTCACCAGGTGCTCAGTTTAGATCCATTCTGACCTCGCCTCCTTCTCTTCTCTCCCAGATCCAGTCCCCAAGTTGACGGGAACTCCTTTCCCACTGCATCCTCGTCCCCCGTGTCTCCTTCCAGCCCCAACCTGGAGGAGCGGCGGCGGCCCGGCACCCTGTTCATCTGGCAGGAGAGGGAGCGACTCCAGCAGCAGAGGGAGAAAGCCAGGTAGGCTATGAATAATGAAAGAAGCCCAGGAAAGCCTCCCTGTTTGGGGACTAACTAAAAGTTTCAGCTCCCTTCATCCTAAAAGCGCTTTATTTTGCAGTTTGCTGAAGTCGAGCTCTAAATCTGGAAGTAATGCAGCCTCTGCGCCGCAGACAGGAAGCAGCTCATGGTGGGTCGACCCCGAGGAGCAGAGAAGCTCTGCCTCCCTGCGGTTTTTCATCAGCTCCTCTTAAGTTTCAGTGTGAAAGATGTGAATAAAGCCTGGTGTATGTCTCCCTCTAGTGGTGGCTCTCCAGAGAACGGCAGCGCTCCTTCAGGCCTGCGTCAGAGATGTGCGGTGAGAAGAGTCCTTCCCATCAGAGGGATTTTAGAGGGTTTAACGAAACGTCAGCCGCTCTGCTGATCCTTTTCTGTGTTTGTTGGTTGTTAGAGCGCCGACCAGATGAGCACAGGATCCCCGTCTGCGGCTCTGCATCGCTCCAGCAGCAGAACAGGTGTGGCTCCTTCTTCTTCATGAAAATAGTTTTTTTTAGGTGTGAATGGTGGTTTAGAGCTATTAATAAACCTCAGGAACGTCCCAAAAAATTGGCCTCCTGTGAAAAAAAAATAAAACAAATAACTCTTCATTATTACAGAAAGAATAGAAAAAGATAAAATAATTGATCATACAGAGATCAAGTCGGGACTAGACTGAGCTGTAGGGCTGGGTAAAAAAAATTATTTATTCAATTTTGAATTGATTCCTTTACATTTTTGCAAAATCAATGTCCAGGGAATGAGATCCATTCGTTTTATAGTGTCGCACGTGACGTTCATGTTCAAATGAGCAGGAAAGATGCTCTCAAGATGACTTCAAGCCAGACAGCTTCACTTTTCACAAACAAGTTTGCACTTTTGAGACAGTTTTGTTCACATCTCTAGTTTAAATTGTCTGATTTACAAGTTTGCACTTTGTGTTTAATATAAGGGACCAACATAAATTTAGACACTGAATGAAGGAGTCAAAAGGGCATTTTAAAAGTTTATTTCTTTTGAATAAATTATGGTAAAATCTTCAGGGAGAGCCCAGGCCAAAATAACAAACAAAACAACCCTAAAGAAAAAAGAAAAGTGGACTCAATATGAAACCAAACCTACAAAATAACCTACCCAACCAACACATTAACGGGAGAAAACTGGGGTTAAACAAAAGGGCAGTGTTTGCAATCTTAACAGCCCCTTTTAGATTTTAAAATTAACACAGAGGTATTTGGCAGACAAATGGCTAAAAAAAACAGCCCTGAAGTACTGCTTCACATGCCTTTAATAGTCTTCAGGTGATCTTCATTGGACCGAGACTCAGAAAGCAGCAGCCAGTCTTAAAGGCGGAGCCGAAAAGAGAGCAAGGCGTTAATTGGATGCAAGAACAAAACATCCATCCATCTTGGGGATGTAACACCCCTATTTAGGCAGAGGAAAGGCACATTTAAAATATTTAATCTCACAAATAGGCTAAGAAAAAATATCCTTAGCTGAAGGACGCCGCTCTCATTCCATTCCCAAATGTTTGCCACGTGCAAAATGAAGATTAGAACTGTATATAGCCGGACCGAGGAACCGGCCTAATTAGATTAATTACTGGGGGGAACATCAGTTCTGATAGGCAACAGGCAGCTAATGTTAAGGTGGAATAAACTCACACATCATCAGTGATAATTCAGGGTTCCTGCAGATCCTTAAAAAGTCTTAAAAGGCATTGAATTCTTCAATATGAAAATAAGACCTTAATTAGTATTAAAATGTCTTAAATCAGTCTTTTATAGGTCTTAAAATTGTCACCAAGTCATAAATAGGGATTTTATTTTTGTAATTCATATAAAAAACTTACATTTAAAGAACGGATTAGCTTGAACCATTATTAGTTCCATCCTGAGTGCAGAAGCAATAAAAACCATGTTGCAAACAGACCTTGGGTTGATGCGCCAAAAACGTGTGGAAGTGGAAATTCAATGAAAAGTAGCGATCCAGCCAAGAGTTTTCTGCATGGATTAAAAACAGCAGGTAATGTATATGAGGAATGGCGTATTTTGAGCGAGAAGTCATTCAAGCTCGGCACGTTGGGAATCAAAGCTTTGGACTCGGACATGTGAAGAGTGAAAAACAAAAGCAGCAAAATGAAGTTACAGAGAAGCAGCAGCAGCTTTTCCTCAGTTCTGTTCCTCACTCGTCTCTGCGAGGGCTTTACAGCATCTACGACGTCAAAAAAAGCCCCAGTAGCACCAAATCCCCAGATGTTTGGTGGTTCGCCTGCTATGAAAACAAAGTTTGAATTCCATTCATTTGTTGTTATATATGTTACCGTATTTTCACGACCATAAGGCGCACCGTAATAAAAGGCGCTGTCTGAGTTATGTGTCCCATTTCTGTATTTTACACACACATAAGGCGCACCGGACTATAGGGCGCAGGTTTTATATACAGGTCCATGTCCTCTACTACCTTTAAATAGCTCTACTGCGTATTTAAAAATAGAGCGGGAGCAAAACTGAGTATGACTGTGCTTTATTCATGTATTTATTACAAAGTATTAATCAAACCTGGGAGCTGGCCGTGAGACAGACACATCGCTGATGACAGTGCGCTGTGATCACTCCTAAATTAACTTAAAATCCTGGTATATGGGGGTCTGAGCGCCTCCAACAGAAATAATATTGAAGGCAGGATGGTAATCTGGATGACCTGACTGCAATGATTTAGGTTTTCAGGTGGACTTTCTCACTTAAAAACATATTAAAACTACTTTATTCCCACTGATCACAGCAAATATAGCTGCAAGGCAGAGAAAGGATAGAGTAGCTCCGCCCAACGCACGTCAGACACACTTTTGCACCGCGCAGCCAGAGCAGCAAAGCTGCTTCAGCCGCGCGTCAGAACTAACTGGTACAAGCAGCAGACGCAATTTTGCTGCTCTTGCTGCGTCCATTTGAACGGCCGGTTCACACCGATGTTGAGCGGTTAAAGTTCCTTTGTCAGACCTTCCACAATAACGGCGAGCACAGCGTTCATTTGTATCACCATGTTTTTCACATCGGCTGTGAGATGGGCACGCATGGAGTCACAGATTAACAGCGATGGTGATGCGTGGAAAAAACACCTGGTCTCCTTACATACACCTCCCTCAGCCACTCTTTCATCATCTCCTCAATGAGCACATTTTGAGGGGAAAAAAAGACGTTTATATGCGCCTTATAGTCGTGAAAATATTATTGTGTTTTTAGCCTTCTTCCTATATGGAAAGTTTTTTAAAATTGTAAACATTTCTACTGGGCCAGGAAGTAATGCGTTATGTTAAAATAAGCATCAGGTTAAATTTGTCGCAATTTGTCTTGTGTTTATTGTGAAGTTGGTCTTAAAGTTTTATTTTAAGGGACAAAGAAAAGTCTTAAAAAGTATTGAATTGAACTTGCCTTATATTGTAGGAACCCTGTAATTATCCTAACATCTCAAATGTTTTTTTAATAAAGTATCTCCCCAGCCTGCTGGATCTCTAATGGTTTCTCTGTTTGCGCTGAAACATTTGTTCCAGACGTGCCGTCCTCTCCGAAGGCGTCCTCTCCTCCTGGTCACGCTCAGAGGCCCAACAGTTTCCTGTTCCGTACCTCCTCCAGGAGCAACGTCAAACCCACAGGTAGACCCTTCCACTCCCCCCCACCGTCTTTTCCAGCTCTGCAGCCTCAGTCACCTCCTCTTTGCTTCACCTCCTCAGGGACCACCTTCACTCTGGGCGAGTCCGGCAGGAGTGAATCTCGCACCACGCTGCGTTCGCCGAAAGAGGAGAGACGAGACCTGACGCAATTACGCAAGGTACAAGACAGAAATTTATTATCGGAGAAAAATTTGATTCTCTATTTTCCAGACTATAAGTTTTTCCCCACGCTTTGAACCATGCGTCTTATAAGAAGCTGCAGCTTTTCTGCGGATTTTTCCTAACGTTGGCTAATTTTCATTTAGCATGAGAACATGCTAGCAGCAGGTACGACGGAGAACAAATGTCCCGAATTCACACATTTTAACGTTTATTTGCTGCATTAAAGCTGCTGAACCAATGAAAAGACTGAGATTAACTCCTGCAGAGCTGAAATAAAGAGCTGATGAAGCTCCATCTTTCAGTAGAAGCTCTAACTGCTGCGAGCTAACACGCTAACGGGAGCTAGCATTCTTCTTGGTCCCTACTCCAGGAGTTATATGTAGAGCTCCCCCTACAGGTTTGTTTGGAAACAGTTCAGTAGATATCAGCGGTTTATATGTACGTTTCCAGTTTTTTTCAGTGGGCGTGGCTTATAGTGAGGTGCACTCTATATTCTGGAAAATAACATGGTTCCCGCGGATCCTTAAAAAGGCTTAAAAGGCATTGAATTCTTCAAAATAAAACTAAGGCCTTAATTGGTATTAAAATGTCTTAAATTAGGGATGCACAATATAATGGGCCCCCTATCGGTATCGGCCTTAAAACTGAATATCGGACATCGGCCACCCCACCGATATTTAACCCGATATTTGATCAGCTTCTGAGTTTCTAAAGTCTAAAATAAAAAAAATACTACTTCTTCTTCTTCCTCAAAAACTTCTTTTTTACAGACTTAAAAACTTCTAAAGACGAGGGAAAAAATATTGATCCGTTAAAATATCCCAATATCTTCATATGCTGATACACTATATTGCCAAAAGTATTTGCTCACCCATCCAAATTATTGGAATCAGGTGTTCCAATCACTTCCATGGCCACAGGTGTATAAATTCAAGCACCTAGGCATGCAGACTGTTTTTACAAACATTTGTGAAAGAATGGGTCGCTCTCAGGAGCTCAGTGAATTCCAGCGTGGAACTGTGATAGGATGCCACCTGTGCAACAAATCCAGTCGTGAAATTTCCTCGCTCCTAAATATTCCACAGTCAACTGTCAGCTGTATTATAAGAAAATGGAAGTGTTTGGGAACGACAGCAACTCAGCCACGAAGTGGTAGGCCACGTAAACTGACGGAGCGGGGTCAGCGGATGCTGACGCGCATAGTGCGAAGAGGTCGCCAACTTTCTGCAGAGTCAATCACTACAGACCTCCAAACTTCATGTGGCCTTCAGATTAGCTCAAGAACAGTGCGCAGAGAGCTTCATGGAATGGGTTTCCATGGTCGAGCAGCTGCATCCAAGCCATACATCACCAAGTGCAATGCAAAGCGTCGGATGCGGTGGTGTAAAGCACGCCGCCACTGGACTCTAGAGCAGTGGAGACGCGTTCTCTGGAGTGACGAATCGCGCTTCTCCATCTGGCAATCTGATGGACGGGTCTGGGTTTGGCGGTTGCCAGGAGAACGGTACTTGTCTGACTGCATTGTGCCAAGTGTAAAGTTTGGTGGAGGGGGGATTATGGTGTGGGGTTGTTTTTCAGGAGCTGGGCTTGGCCCCTTAGTTCCAGTGAAAGGAACTCTGAATGCTTCAGCATACCAAGACATTTTGGACAATTCCATGCTCCCAACTTTGTGGGAACAGTTTGGAGCTGGCCCCTTCCTCTTCCAACATGACTGTGCACCAGTGCACAAAGCAAGGTCCATAAAGACATGGATGACAGAGTCTGGTGTGGATGAACTTGACTGGCCTGCACAGAGTCCTGACCTCAACCCGATAGAACACCTTTGGGATGAATTAGAGCGGAGACTGAGAGCCAGGCCTTCTCGTCCAACATCAGTGTGCGACCTCACAAATGCGCTTCTGGAAGAATGGTCAAAAATTCCCATAAACACACTCCTAAACCTTGTGGACAGCCTTCCCAGAAGAGTTGAAGCTGTTCTAGCTGCAAAGGGTGGACCGACGTCATATTGAACCCTATGGATTAGGAACGGGATGTCACTTAAGCTCATATGTGAGTCAAGGCAGGTGAGCAAATACTTTTGGCAATATAGTGTATATTGCCATTTAAAAACACCATATCAATCTCTTTTACTAATGAAATATTGCTATATGTCATCGTTATGCTACGAAATCCCCCGAAAATTCACAAAATGTTGCCATATTTTTAGATGTTGATATATTGACGCGGTATCGATCTATTTTACTAACAAAATCTCACGAGAGTTTGTATCAGAACGATGAAATTTCACGAGATTTTGAAAGTAAAATAGATCGATACCGCGTTTTTAAAAATCAATTTGATATCAGCATATGAAAATATATTTGAGTATATTATTTTTCAAAGTGTCAGAAATGGATAACAAAACTGCTATTTTCAATGACTACTTATTTTTGTCCAGCTTTAACATCGATATCGGTTATCGGCTACATGAGTTTTAAAATATCGGCATATCGGATATCGGCCAAAATCCCAATATCGTGCATCCCTATCTTAAATCAGTCTTTCGTAGGTCTTAATTTTTAAAACATCATGAATAGGATTATTTTTATTATGATTTATTTTTGTATTCTAAATATAACGTTACAATTGACAAATTTTAAAACTGCTCCCCATTATTGGTTCAATAGCGGAACCAATAAAAGCGTTGTTGCGGCCGGGACATTTGGGAGATGCTCCATTAACTTTTTGTCTGGAAAATATGAGCAAGTGTAAATCTAACCAAAATTGTCTCCAGCCAAGAGTTTTCTCCACGGCTAAAACCAGGGAACATACATGAGGCTCAGTGGATTTAGTGCAAGAAGTCATTCAAGCTCAGAACGATGGGAATTAAGGCAGTGGAGTCGCACATGCGAAACGCGAAACACAAAGCGTCAAAATGGAGTTACGGAGAAACAGCCGGTATTTCTCAGTTTAGTTCCACCCTTGTCTCTGCAACGCCTCCACTTATCACCAAATCAAACATACTAAGAAAACCATACAAAGAAAAATAGCTGCTAAAAAGACTTAGCACTGGTTATGTTGGGGCTTTAAAACTGATTTGTTTTGTTCCCTGCTAAAACAAAGTTTGTGAATTCAGTTAAATAATTGTTAAAATATTTCGTTCATTTGTGTGTTTTTAGCTTTCCAAAATTTGAAACATTAGTGCCGTGGTTTATGTTAAAATAAACCTTTGGGTTAAGTTGATGCAAGCAGGTTTTTCTGGTGTTTCTTGTGAATTTGGTCTCAAATTTTTATTTCAAGTGGCATTAAAAAGTCTTAAAAAGTCTTGAATTTAACTTGCCTTATGCTGTAGGAACACTGAAGACGGTAATTGCCCAGCCCCATGCGAAATGCACCTGGAGAGTAGATTGTAGACACGATCAAAGGCTGATAATTGTTAACAACCCATAAATGTTTAGCTCGGTTGTTTTTGTGAGCGCCTTCGTCCTACACTGGAGATCCAAGTAAAAATTTCTTCAATTAAGTGTATTTACCCTTAATTTGTGTTGGTAAATGAGAGACTTTGCCAATGGAATGAGAATTTTTACTCTTAGAATTAGATAATTGGATAACATACACTTGAAATAAGACAATGCAATTGTGTTTTCTTATTTTACAGTAAATTGTCTTGTTCCATTGGCAAAATGTGTCTTTTACCTCCTCAATTCAAGAACAAATGCACTTATTTTAAGAAAAAAGGACTTATCTAGATTTCCATTTTTTCCAGTGTGACTGAACCTGACAGCGGATGTACGCGTTGCTAGTTTTTTCAAACAGACGTTATTATTCTGCTTTTCCTTTTAGATTTATGAAATCTGTTAACTTCCAGCAGTGGCGAACAGCTGAGAGGTGGTTTAGTGTTTTTTTTGGGGGGGGAGGAGTTTGTTTACTATCTGAGTGGTCCACAAAGTGACGGACCGATCGGGCCGATAATTCTGACATCAGTAGAACTGATCTACATGTAAACTCTATCAGATGGGACGGATGCGGAGTTCTACTCTCCTCCGGATCGCCCTGGTACCGCTGCTGCTCAATAAAGCTGCAGAACCACTCCAGCAACAGGTGGGGGTGGGGGTTTGGCTCAGGCATCTCTAACCCGTGTCCCGCTCCACAGACTCTGGAATCTCGGCTGAAGATCTCTCTGCCAGAGGACCTGGGCGAGGCTCTGTCCAACGGAACCGTCCTCTGCCAGCTGGTGAACCAGATCCGGCCGCGCTCCGTCTCCATCATCCACATCCCCTCCCCCGCAGTGGTGAGTCGGACGCCTTCCGTCGGCTCGGACTGAACCCCCGCCCCCTCCCAGCGTCCGGTCGCTTAAAGCTGCTGGTTTTCTTTGTTCTGTTTTTCCCTTTCAGCCAAAGCTGAGTTCGGCGAAGTCCAGACTGAACGTGGAAAACTTCCTCAGCGCGTGTCGGAAGCTGGGCGTCCCTGAGGTAAAGTTCTGGGTTAGGCGCTACAGAAGGACGATGGTCCGTGTGCTAACCGCGCGCTGCGTCCCGCCTCTAACAGTCTTCTCTTCTGTCTGTGTGTCCAGCCTGAAATGTGTGTCTGCTCCGATGTGCTTCTGTGTAAGCTGCCCGCTGTGCTGCGCTGCGTGGCGGCCTTGCTGGCCGTGGAGCCCGAGGAGGACCGCGCCTCGCCTGCGTCTTCCTCCTCGCTGCTGTCGGCAGACTTCCTGTTGTTTTACTGCTCCGTCATGGCGCTTCTCTACGCCATCTACTGCTACCTGCTGACCTAAAGACTGAAGCGATGGAACCGTGTGCGTTTAGGAGACACAAAGAAACCCCCCCCCACCCCGTGGTTAAAGAGGGGAACGACGCCTTAACCTGATGAGGCGTTTTTTTGGAAGCCTGACATGTTTGGGGTATTTCCAGTCGATCAATCCGTATTTTTCCACGTTTTTCTGATGGATTTTTTTTATTTTTTATTCTGCCGTATAAGAGGCGGAAGTGTTCTTGATGGCTTTTTTTTTTAAAGCCGGCCTCGAGGGCGATGCAACATCCTGGATCAAAAAGATTCAGATGTAGAAATGTGGGGAAAGCATCAGAATAAATAATTATTCTGCTTAATTAACGCCGTTTCCTTTTTTTTTTTTTACTAATTAAAGCAATCGGGACGTCTCTAACGAGGCTTCATGGCCGTTAGGAGACAAACGGGCCCAGAGCATCACTGCTCCACCCAGCCTAGTCTCTACCGTGTCACGTCACGGTCCCGCCGCAGGGAAACAGGAAGGCAGGGATCTGATAACGTTTGATTAAAGCTGCTCTGGTCCCGCTTTTTCAGCCTCTCTGCTCTTCATTTTTAGAGCAGAGTTAAAACGTTTAAAGGTTCGTTCTCTGCCAGAGACCGTCTGTGCCTCCAGAGGAGCTTCGGCGTTTTATCCCGAGTTTCCAGAAATAAGAATGTGATTTTTTTTTTTTTTTAAAGATCTGAGATGAGAAGAAAGTTTATTAAAAGCAGAAGTTGGATGTTGCCCCTGAGTGATGCTGTTACCCTGAAACAGCAGCAGGGGGCGGCGTTGCTTCATCCACGGTACGTCGGCACTGGTCTGTTTACCTGTATAAATGTAAAGAGGATATTAAGTTATTGCTTTTATTTATTTCTATTCTGTTCCACTTTTTTTTTTCTCCCAGAAACCTTTTTAAAATCTCCCAAACTGAACCAGATGAATATTTAAAGAGTTAAACTAAACGGTGAACCTTTGATTTCGGCTCTTTTTTTATCCTCTCGCTGCTCCATAAGGTCGGCATGCTGCAGATAAACTCGCATTAAAGCCTCATGATTTTATCCAGAACCGTTTATTCCACCTTAAACATTAAGAAATTAAAGCTATTCACTGACAAACAGTCAAAATGAGAGAAAATGAATCAGTTTAAACTGGTTCTGGTTCCTCCTAAGGTTAAAGAAATAAAGCAGAAACATTTTGGATTATGGAGTAAAATTCTTAAAAAAACAAAACTAAATTAAATGTTTTGATTTTAGCAGGAAAGTAATACGATTTTCGAGAGGAATATGATAAAAAAAAAATCTTATCTACTTTCATAAATTAAGGAGGAAGAGATTTGGACTTATTTTTAGATCAGTGAAATTGCGCCATATTTCAATAAGAATAAACAATGAAGGAAAATCTAAAGTCTGTATTTACGGTAGCATCCATTCAAATGGCCACCCCCAATCAAACGCCAGCTGAATCCCCTCTAACTTCCAGCCCCTAGAGTGACCCCCTCGTTCACTGAAGTACAGGGTCTGACCAGGAAATGGCGCTTCTCTTTAGATCTTAATGTCCCCAAATAATGACAGAATATTTTAGCACAAAGATTGATGTTTAAAAAGGAATTGAAGGGGACCAGACAAGGAGAGTGGGGAAATTTTAAATGGCTACTTCTGTAGAAATGTTGAAATTAAAATCCAGTTTAGAGAAGCTGGAAGTTTCTCTCCAACATGGCCGCCTCTGCTTCGAAGAGTTTCTACCGTCCCTATCGGAAGCCCGATCCGTCCTGCGCATGCGTGATTATGGTACTAAAAATTACTTATTTATATCCCTAACGCACTAAAGAATCCTGATGGACATCTTTAAAAAAATGTTTTATGACTTTTGTGAGACAATTTTGATGCTTTTTCCATTTTCTTCGTTAAACTGCTTCTCTGGCGTCACGATGGGACATGCTCAGAGCAGTCCGGCAAAATATGATTAAGCTTGGGTGACCAGACATCCTCTTTTCCCCAGATATGTCCTACTTTTCATACCTAAAAACAAGTCTGAGCGGAATTTCAAATTCGTCCGGGATTGTTGTCGACTACAGCGCAGCAGAACCGAGACGTCAGCTCCGTTAGCTCCGCGGGATCCAACTGAGGGACTCTGATGTCAGCTAGCGTCTCTCAGCTGCTCCCTCCTCCCACACGCGGGGGTGCAGTTAACTAACCTGACTCCGCCAGCTGGATTTGCCCCGCATATCCATCTGGAAACCTTCCGTTGAAGTAATTTTGGGAAGGGGCGAAAATACAGGTTAGCTGATTGGCCTATGTTGGTGATAGACGGGCCAAATAAACCAATCAGATCAATGAAGCATATGACGTACTAACAGAGCGACGACGAAGAGGAGCCAATTGATAGATCAAACTCTTGCCAAAACCAGTCGGGAGAAGAGCAAAAACATCTTTTCCTCTGAGAAAAGCCTCCAGAGCAGTGTTTTGCTCTTCTTTCAGTGAAGAAATACTCTGTAATTCCGATAAAACTTGCTCGATAGCCACGCTAACGCTAGTTTCATCGGCTGAAGCCGCCATGTTCTTTAGACTGAACTGTCGCGCTTCTCGTTGCGTCACACCTCAACCCGCCTCAAAGCCAACGCTGATTGGACGTTCGTTTGGTGAACGGCTCCAAATTTTCTTTGAGAGTCTGCAGACTGATTAGAGTGAAACCTTGAAAGCTCGCGAGATCAGGATGGTCTCACGACGCTAGCAGTTAGGGACCGTCAACAAATTTTGAACCAAGCACTCTTGAGAACCAAAAATCAATAAAGTCCTTATCTATTGGCATGATTTTATATTAGCTTCGTCTTAGCGGCTCATAAGATAACGTATGAAAGGCACCCTTGCTTTTATGCAATTTTAAGCTATTTTCACTTTTTAAGATTTTTTTTAAAGACAATAGTTGGGACTTTTCTTCAATAGCTTCCAGGTCATGTGACCCACTGACTCGAATTCTTTGTGAAATAGTTTTACTACATTAGCCTGATGATGCTAACTCATTTTATTCCATTTCTAGCCTTCATATATTCGCCTTACCTCGATTTCCACCATAAAAAGAAAGTGTCCTTTTTAAAAAAAACAAATCTGGTCACCCTCATTAAACCGTGTTTATATGCATTTTAGTTGTTTCTTTAGATTACGTACTATATAGCATAATGTTAACATGAAAGGAAAAAATACAACTCAAGACTAGATTTGTTTAAATCCAAACCCGAAAAAGTTAGCTCCAGGAAGTAGCGTAGGATCCAATTTCCATTTAAGGTATTTCTTTTCTCAGGAAATACATTATTAACCTTTAGCAAATTATATTTTACGATTTTACGATTCCTTTTTTTGGGGAGGGAAAAAACGTCACTTGGGTCTTTTCAACAAAATAAAATCGAGGGCGAGCCGGATGTATATGGAGGATAAAAAGTGCCAAAATTAAATAAATAATTAAATGTCAATAATTAATTAAATGTGGAATTAAATAAATAAATGTGTCATTCATTAATTAAAACCACGTCACTAATATAAAGTGCCACAATTAAATAAATAAATACGGCGATAAACAATTAAATGTGTAATTCATTAAATAAATAAGGAATTAAATATATAAATGTGTCATTAATTTAATACATCTTCATTTTATTAAAAAAATATATATAATTATTTCAGTGTGCATTTAATTATTTCATGGTCCTGTGTCGCAGTGCATCGAAAGCATTAAAAGAATCTGTCAAACTCACCCATCAAAGTTAGGGGGCGGGGTTAACGCGAATCGAGTCTCTGTAATCGATTTGCTTCGCCTTAATGTGCAGGGTGACCAATCAGGTGTTAGGTAACCGCCCCCTAACTTTGATGGGTGAGTTTGACAGATTCTTTTAATGGTTTCGATGCACTGCGACACAGGACCATGAAATAATTAAATGCACACTGAAATAATTAGATATATATTTTTTATAAAATTAAGACGTATTTTATTAAATTAATGACACATTTATATATTTAATTCCTTATTTATTTAATGAATTACACATTTAATTAATTGTTTATGGCTGTATTTATTTATTTAATTGTGGCACTTTATATTAGTGACGTGGTTTTAATTAATGAATGACACATTTAATTCCACATTTAATTACTTATTGACACATTTATTTATTTAATGCTGTATTTATTTATTTAATATTGGCACTTTTTATCCTCCATAGATGTATACCTGGACGCGTAAATGAGCTGATAGCGGATCGGATGGTGACGTACTCGTTTGAATGAAGTCCACTGCTCCGGTTGGAGGAAGTGACGTCACGCTGGTTGCTAACAGTTAGCCTAGCCTCTGGTTTGTGTTTTCCCTGCATCAATGGGACCTGGGGAGGAAAATAAATACTATGTGATCTAAAAATAGGTTCAAATCTGCCCTGGATTAAAAAAACCATGAAAATAAGATAATGGAGGTTTAATCTTATTATTGAAAGCATGTTTATTTTTATTCCACTGTCTCCCCTGCTCACATCAAAGGAAACATTTTAATAAGGATGAATTTCTGCATCCCTTACTGGATGTTTTCTGTGTTTAAATTCAGCGCAGGGATCTAGGATGGACTTGAGAGGTCAGAGATGTTCGTATTAATCTGCTGTTACTATTAATCTGTGAGTTCAGATGTTTTCTTTAGAGTGAAACTGGATTTGCAGCGCGCACTAATTCATTCACTGGCTTAGAGCAGGCTATATTCCTACATGTTAGCGGAAGATTTGTATTTTATATTTATATCGTTCTTTCTTGGACTTCATATGAATTTATATGATTGTTTTTTTTCTTTCTTCCTGCTGTAAAGAAACAATTAAAAAAAAAAAGGAAACTTTGACTTTGTGCTTTTTTTGTGCCGGCTTCCCTTCGCTCCATCAGTAAAGATGTTTGTTTGCTGGGTATCTGCTGCCTCCTCAGCTACGTCTGACCTCCACCTCTGATTAGATTCTGGTTTCTTCATTTCATGGGATCCGGCAGACATTAACCTGAGGGGGCGAGCAGATACCCTGACGTATGCTCTGTGCTTCTTTAAACGCTCCTGTGTGCTCTCCAAACAGCAGGTTTACCTTCTGCACCTCCTGCTGGGGAGCAGGCGCTGAGCCCCGAGGTCCAACTGGGCCTTCAGGTTTGTACTGTGCTGCTGTCTC